CTCCCGGACCCCCCGGAAGTGGTGCAAAGCGGCAGGCCTGCCGTCCCCCCCTCGGGAAGCCAGCTCTACCTCCCTTGTCACTGGAGGTAGATAGTGGGGCTTCTCGGGGGTTGGGGGAAAATGTGGGGGGGGGGGGAGCGCCGCCGGGTCTTCTTGGGGGTGGGGGTAAATGGGAGAGGCCCCAAACATCTCGTGATCAACTGGTCGAGCCCTCACAATCGACCAGTCGATCGCGATCGAATGATTGGTGACCGTGGGTGTAGATGGTTACAGGGTTAGGTTAAGGTAGCTTCCATTGAACTCTCTCTGGGGAGGTGGATCAAGCCTGACTACTTTTCCCATACATGAGCTCTTTGCAAGCTCAAAAGCTTATTTCTCTTATCAAACAGAAGTTATTCCAACAAAAGATACTACCTCACCCATCTTGTTCACTCTAATAGCCAGGGATCAACACGGCTACAAGACTGCAAACAACAGTTTGAATCCAAGATAGCTCTGATGATCAGTGCTATAATCTGACACAACTATGCTTGACTGTCCACCAGAAATAAATTGTCATGTCAGTGAACTCATTCTCTGTTAACAATGTTTCTAGAGCAAATTTGTATGCCACACAAAAATCTGTATGTAACTTCTGCAGATTAACCCTCGACTAGATGGGTGCATTCGTGCTTGGAACCTGATGAATCAGGGAAGTTCAGGCATAAAAGAAGTTATTCAAGAAAAACAAAGCAAACACTGTTTAGTAACTGTGGGGAAAGGGTCCTACTATCCTGGCACTGGCACGGCAGAATTTCATATAAATTATAGTAAGTATTTTTCAGCCTTCTCCAACATGTCTTTATGCTGGACTGATGATTGAACTAATGAATGGCAAAAGAACATGGGCTTTCCTCATGCACCCTTGACTCAGGCATTAACTTTGGAGAGAGTTCTGCTTGAGTAACAAGTGTGGGTTCTGGCCCCACACATTATCAGTGTAATTGCTGCAGTGACCCATCAGGATGGACTTTGCAACTCTCCAAAGTCTGATTCTCCTCCCATTTTTCCAATGGAAATTTTGCCATTGATGTCACTGAGAATGGTTTGAGCCCCAAATGAAACAGTTGTGTGAAATTATATTTAAACGAGATACAGCATGGGTGCTCATTGTGGTATGGTGTGTTATTAGTGTGAAATTATGAAAAAAATTATTCATAAACATGGGCATCCCATTTAGCTGCTGAACTTAGCAACCATGTAATTTTACTTGTGAGAGAATTCCCTTTGGAGCAATGGGACTATTCCAGTGTGTGATGTTAAACTGGTGTTTAAGTTATCAACCTTCTGCTCAATAGCAAAATTTTATGAGCAACCTGTCAGGCTTTTTCTGGTGTAACCTTATAAACAGCCCTCTTATGAATGTGGCAGAGAGAGAGGTAACTAAAAATAAAAAAAGAAGCCCAGAAAGCTGAAAAGGCAAGGAAAAATCCAAGCTTAAAAATTTCCCTTTCTATATGTTCAATATTAGAAACTTCGGGGAAAACTAAAAATGTAAAGTATCTTTTCACTGCAGATTTAGCCTTATTTTTCATAGTGGAAATATACTATATCACAGGGAGAAATGCTTGTAAATAACTGAATAGTATTTAGGATTGTTTTTTCAGGATCATTATTTTCTTTTGTTTTTAAACAGATAATCTTACTAATGACAACGAGTGGCTTATAAACATAATATTGACTATTCGCCCATCCACAAGCACTGGTGTGATGTTTGCCTTGGTCTCTGATGAAACAGTGCCTCTTGCTTTGTCCATAGTAGACTCCAATTCCCCTAACTCACAGGTGATCTTACAGTTATGACAATAAACTCTGGATCAGATCCTCATAAGCATAGCTATTTTGACTTAAAACTCTGCCTTCTTTCTCCTTCTGTAAAATGGGATGAATCCTAGTTACTTACTAAACCTCACAGAGATGTTATGAGGCTGAATTAATTGCTCACAAAGGGCTCCAGTAAAACAGTGATGAATTGCATGCATAACCAAATAGACCTTGTTGTCATTAAATTTCCTCCTATTCCCAGTTGTGGCAAGTAGCATGACAGAAGGTAGCATGTGCTTATATGTAGAAGGGTTAAGACATACTTTTTTCTTTAACTGCTTATAAGATACTAAGGGTGAAATCTGGTCCCATTATACTCAATGTCAAAACACCCATCAACTTCCTTGAGACCAGGATTTAATCTAGATCAAGATTTTCTAACAAACACTGAAAGAGAGAGACTGCTAAATAAATTAGCAACTGCCTTTGTTGAATAAGCCATCAGCTACTACTGATTTCAATGGATTTCCTAGTTTCAGGTACCTATTTTGAAAAAGTTTGGTCATAGTGTTTCCTCCAGTTTCTCTTTACAAATATAAAATGCATAAGTAAATAAAATAGGCACTGGAGTTGTATGGTAAATCTTTTTTATTCTGCTGCCCAGGAAATCATTGTGACTATTAAGAACGTCATTGTTGCTCGGTTGGAGTCAGACAGATTGTGTACCTCCAAAAGAACTCGACTAGAACTCAGAGTAAACAAACAGCTGCTTGAACTGACTGCTGAGTCACAAACAGAGAGCACCACTACTTACCAACAACAACAGCTCTCCATCCTGGATCTAGCAATGAAAGGACGTATTGTTACCTACTTAGGTGGCATCCCAGGTGAATTGTATTTCTTTTCATTGATGTGAATGAATAAGCCTTAATATCCTGAGTTATTGTGGTATGGTTTTTTTTTTAACACTTATCTATTTTTATCCTTGTATTTTGAGTCTATCAGTATAGCTTTTGATGCAGCTTGATAGCTCCTTAATGCTACTACTGAAGAATCTTAACAACCCAGTAGCAGAGTTGCTCTTCAAAAGTCTATTTTTGGAAGTGACCTTATGGACCCTATTCCCCCGGGGGAAATGGTGGTATGTTGCAAGGTTTTGGTTTTTTTTTTGCTTTGGTTTGGTTTTTTGCTTCAGAGTAATAAGAACTCCTGAAGTGACACCTACTGGTAGATTTAACAAACTTCAGCAGGTTTAGAGATTGTCAAAGCCATCCATTTAAAAATAACTGAAAGAGAAAGATGGGAGGAGGAAGCAGGGAAAATGGGGTTACAACAATCATTCTTTCAGGTGGCAGTTGACCACTTACATGATAACAGGTAATCTCAAAATTAAGAGGGGCTTAAAGAGACTCAATGTTTTGTTTTAACAATTTGTCAGTGAATTTTCATCCCTACAATTCCTATCTTGTGCAACCAGCACAAAGCATATCTCAGCAAGCATGTCATGGATGCACATCAATGCCATTAGCTTTGGATTTTACAAATTATAGTACAGGCAGTCCCCGGGTTACATACAAGATAGGGACTGTAGGTTTGTTCTTAAGTTGAATCTGGATGTAAGTCGGAACTGGCATCCAGATTCAGCCGCTGCTGAAACTGACCGCCAGTTCTGACTTACATACAGATTCAACTTAAGAACCCCAAGTCCCCAAGTCAGCTGCTGCTGAAACTGATCAGCGGCTGATTCCAGGAAGCCCGGGGCAGAGCAACTGTGCCTCAGGCTTCCTGTAGTCAGCGCTGGTCAGTTTCAGCAACGGCTGACTTGGGGACGCCTGGGGCAGAGCAGCTGGGGTGCTGCTGGGTTGCTCCAGTAGCGCCGTTCCTCGGTGCTACTGGACCAACCCAGCAGCACCCCATCTGCTCTGCCCCAGGCGTCCTGATTCAGCCGCTGCTGGCACTGACCAGCAGCGGCTGCATCAGGCC